CGTTCTGACTTTTATATGACCATTGGAAAACAAATAATTTTTTTTGCGAAATCTCATACGGGTCGAAAATGTGATAACAGATCGAAAAAATGTAACTCAGTACTCATTGCAGTGAGTGACAGAGAGCGCATTTTCTCGTCGACGAAAACTTGAGGTCACGGACGGACGGACAGACAGACGGACATGGCGAGCACAATAGTGCATTTTTTCCATAAATGAGAAAATGCGCTAAAAAGGTGGACACATAAGAACCATGATAATATACCGTGTGTGACGTAAATTTATTAAACGCAGAAATTTTTAAGATTACAGAATAGAATAAAAGATTACCGGATTTCGTTTGGAGTAAAATTGTTCAAAACATTAGGAACAATCGAAGATCGCTGTCTTCATTCTCACTCAATCGCTCTGCCGCTAGTAGCATGCATGATTGCTACTGGCCGCTACATGACTGCCGTTGGCCGCTACCAGACTGCGGGAGCGCAGCTGTGCACCACCTATTTTGTGCACCAATAAGCCCTGAACCGAACGCCTTGGATCTCTCCGGACCTACACCAATCAGCCGTGCACCACTCGGCTTTGTCCTCTTCCGGCCTTGACCACCACCTGCCGTGCACCACCAGGCCGCGGATCGAATATGACTTCTGGGCATCGTTGCATTACGTAATTTTACGTTCACCGCATCTGAGGTTAGGTTTCAGATAGCATAGTTCTGTTCCAAATTTATCGTCCTTCGATCAGTGGCCGTTCGACCGAGGGCTGGTTCGACGCACGGCCTAGATACGGACGGCTTGAAGTGTTGAAGGCTACGTTCCGGAAGGCAGGAATCATGAAGGTCCATTACATCCAGGGCAGTGGTGGGCTTCGGCAGGCGACCCCTCTGATTCAGAGGACTTCCACCGGGCAGCAGCTCGGGCCAATCCCCTTTATTCAATTTCTGTGTTAATCTGAATCAAATCAGATTTAATAAATTCGGATTAATTGAATGGTTTTTTACATTATTTTCTTAAGTGTAATTCAATCTATCCTTCCGCTGAAAAGGTAGGTCACGCTAGGGTTTTGTACAGCTCCTGACATCTCGTCATCAACACGTGCCTTGTCTCCTAGATCGTTCCCTGGCCATCATCATCAGGTCACGTGAGCTAAGAATAAACAGACAATTGTCGATTTGTTGTCATTACCCAACCAATTTCATCCGGCCGCCCTAGTTGATTTTGATCTGTTCCTATTAGCTAACTCTTGTTACCCTGACCTTGAAAATCCCTAAAACTGAGTCTAAAATTAAATGTGGTCGGGTGGTATCCCACACATATTTTGATGACCCCATTACTTTTCACACTCAAACTTGGCCACCTAATTAATGACCCATAGCTTTTTATACTTGCCCATCTACTTGGTTATCAACATTGTGGTTAAAAGGATATTGCTCCTATACTTGGCTCTCACTTTATCAATACAATTCTTCTTACGCTTGCTTAAGCCAACTCTAGCTCTGCCAACTCTATCTCTGTCATACATATGCTTCTTGCCTGCTTTGATAGCGGATAAAATTGGTCAGGCCTAATATTACATTGCCTCAGATTTCCATGTCCTGAACATTTCTCTTACAGCTATTGCCATATTTTGAATCGCGTCTAAACCAGCATTCGTGTCATTTGCGATTTTTTATTGCAAGCAATAACTGTATCGGCCTCGCTCAATTCAAATTGAGACGAATCTCCTAACATAATGTAAAACTAATAATGCTATGACTAAGCCAACAGCAGCTTTCGCTGATATTGCCAAAGATTCCACCCAATTGAGTGCTTTTAGCTTGCCTCCATTTTCTCCATCGTCCGTAGCTAAATTTTGCCGTTAACGCTTATTTTATTAATGACTTAGACCTGAAGTGCTGTTTAATTCTATCAGCGCTCCCATCTGGCTTGCAATCTGACCTGACTAACCTGAGATCGATGAGCCGAAAGTGGAAGGCAAATTTGAGTGGTTGCGAGATAATTTAATAAAACTTTCAGACGTCCTCGAAAGCACACTAATCAAATCATTGCTTAATCATACTCCAATGGCGATAGAACTTGTTCAGAATATTTGCGTCGCCTCCGAAATGTTGCAGGCACGTCGCAAGACAAGCATTCTTCATTGTTGCTATCTATATTCCTAGAGCAAATACCTTCGTTCAGGCGTGCTACAACCGCCCATATGACAGATCAATCTCTTGATTATCTTGTGGAAACGACAGATAAAATTTTTCAGTTCGCAAATTCAATTCACTTCGCAATAACTGTTGCCGCTCAAGAGGCTCTATCAGACCACACACTAACGATTCAAGCACGTGTTACTATCATGCAAATTTCGGCAACAAGTCCCTCCGCTGTCAAAAGCCTCGCTCGTGGGTCAGCGAAACTAGCAATAACAATTCCAGAAACCAATAGGCTGTGTTGCAAGGGGCAGCAACACTAAGAATACGACCAAGCCCCACCATTCAAACGATCTACTCTTTAATTCATGATAAAAATTCGAAAACGCCGTTTTTAATCCACACAGGCGCCGCCATTAGTGTTATTCCGCAGTTGCGCAGTGACCGAAAGCATGGTCATTATTGCAGTCTCCAAGCAGCGAATGTCTCGCCGATTCTTGTTGAATGAATGTCGGCGAATGTCTTCGCCGATTCAGCGAATGTCTCGCCGAAAAACTGTGAACTTTGGATCTTTACTTGCGACGTGAATTCACTTGGGTCTTTCACAATTGCTCAATTGCTGACTTGAAACACGCTATTATTGGCGTAGACTTTCTTCCATTCCATTTTAAAATGCAGTGAAGCAAATATAACTTCGATGAATTTTATTGAATTTAGTAGCCTGAACATTGACCAAGCTTGAAATCTTCAATGTTGAATGCCTGGAGCCGGGACGAGACCTTTCAACTGCGCCAAAAAGGTAAAACCAATAGATAATGAATGGCTGAAACCGCGTCAAGTGAACAAGGCACGAAAAATATAAGAATTGGCGACAGGCCACATCAGGCCTACACTTCAGCGCTGACATCACTTACGTTCAGTGAAGTATATCGGTAACGTGTATGGCGCGGCTGTTGCGCCGCAACCGGCTACGCATCAGGTTTGCGGTTAATACTGTGGAAATTGAGTTACTTTAAATGTAAAGATCATAGATAAAAAGGTAGAATTATAAGGTTATCTAAAGCACTTTTTAGAAGAATTTAATTGGACGAAAAAATCAGTGTAAGGTGGATGCTGAAAACGGAATTAAAGGAAGAATTGTTGAAGATTGGTGTGTTGAAGTAAGAATCAAGGTAAAGCTATTCGACCAGAACTCCTAAAATAGAGCCCGAATTGAAGCCTCATCTACTTAAAGTTGATTTGGAATAAATTAAACCGCTGAAGTCTGAAGCATCGTATACGCTAATTAAGTATAGAGTTGAGCGAACTAAACTAAACCAAAGAATATCGGGCATTCAAACCAAGGAATGCATACATCACAGAACAAGAAAAAAATTTAGACTTTTGGTTGAATGTTGGTGAAGTAACGGCGGCAAACGACAGGCTGGCTGGAGATCACGTAATTTTGTATGGCTACAGGCCTACAGCAGTGTATCAGTACGAACTTGTCCTTTCGGTAAACCGGGTCTGACCTAAATTGCTCTAACATTTAACTTATAGTCTATACCATAGACTAGTCTTAATGTTACCCTAAATTGGATTATAACTAAATTCAGTTTAAGGAGTAAAAATTTGATGAACAGTGGAAGATTTCCCAAAAAAGAGCCGTATACCTATATATAGCCGTATAACTCGCAAACGTACAAGTCAATTGACACGAGCTAACATCACCATTGGAGGTTAGGTTTTTACTGTATATTCAAAGTTTCGTTCGAATCTGTTCAGTAGTTTAGAAGAAATTTCTTGGTAACTACAAATTTCGGCACGAATTGCTGTATAATTCACGAATGAAGGTGAAGTTGCAAAAATTCAGGAGCTAACCATCACCGTTAGGTCCTGCTGAATACCTGTACCAAGTTTCATCGAGCTGCGTTCATTATTTTGGTAGATATTCCTTGGTCACTGAATTTAGAGATTGGCCGTGAGGCTGGCCGCGTGTCCGGCCGTAAATTTGTCCGAGACTTTTAGCAACTTGAATCTGCGATAGAGTGAAAATTCGTACTATTAACATAACATAGTGATCTCGGCGCTAAAGTGTAGGCCTGTTGTGGCCTGTCGCCGATTCTTTTCCTTTTCGTGCCCTGTTCACAAAAGATCTAAAATCGTGTTATTTGACCGGCATGACTGACGATAGTTTGCAATAGCTACTCGACTTCCACCGGGTTCGATAAGGTGCTAGGCATTTCTAATCTGAACATATAACTATATATTTTTCCATAACTTTATATAGTCTGTTCTTGAACGCGTTCATACATGGAGCGCCAACGATGTCATCGGGGAGGCTGTTCCTCATGTCGGTGATTCGAAGCGAGGAGAAAATAATGTTGGCGCGTGTAGAAGTTGGAGCAGTTTTTTTAGTTTATAGCCGTGGCCCCTGGTGTTGGTTCTTGTTTCAAATTCTAGTAATCCTTCGGGGACCTTGTATAAACCATGAGTATACTTGTATACTAATAATGTATAGTAAGAAATAATAATTTATTCGCATAGAAATATATAAATTTTGTTATAAACGAAAGCGATTGATCTGAAGGATCAATAGTCATTCTCATTATTTTATCTAATTCATTCAAACCGTTGAATTCGCCGTCCCGTCGCCGTGAATTTTGAACGTGGCGCGCTCAGTTCTTCACTTTAGTTTATCACTCTAAGTCGTGCACATGGGCCTTTTAAAGCACAAAATTCAATAGGTTAATATCATATGTAAGGTTATAATACGGACGAACAATGACTTATTTGAACAGCTGACATCGTTACATTTTCACAGCTGTTAACAGCTGATCTGTAAGGAGTCTCACCATTGGCTACAGCTACTGTCAAATCAGCTGCTATTGGCTCTTGGGACCGATGCCGCTCCAATGGCATCACGTCTCTGCGCAGCAGTCGATCTGTGTTGTTGTTGTTGAACTGAAAGCATATCATCCTGGCGCATTTACCTCCAATATTTTCCCATATTTTCTGGGAACGATTTTCTCGTAAAATGAAAATGATAAATCAAAACAACATCAATCGGTTGGAAGTGAGTATGTAAAAGTGTATAGTCACATTTCCTTTTGGTGGCTGCTACTACTTTACATTGTCTTTTGTGTGGTCAACTTGGGAACAGCTGATCGAGACGCGCAATAACAAAGACTGAAAAATCGCCGAGGGGGGTTGTCTTCATCATATCCTCATGATTAGTTTGCTGCCATGGTTGGCAATCCTAAGTCAATCGTGAAAACCTTGCACAATGATGTAAGTCTCTTGTCTTAGTTCCCCCTCTTGGAGTTTTGAGTCGATTTTTATTTTTTGACGTTCGAGCGTTTACGTTCCAAAACAAGTCATTTTCATTGTGACGAACAATAATATTTCATTCATTTTTGATGTTCCAATCAAATTTTGGCAATACCATACATACAATGAAAGCTTTATATGTCAGATTTAATCTACTTTATTGCTGCTTTGCTGTGATTGTGTGATTTATTCAGAAATTTATTATTTAGATGTACTATTGTAAATGTAATTGTAGGCTAACTAGTTACTAGGCTACCACGTACACCTACGGATAGGTACGGTTTGTTTAGTTGTAAAATATGTTCATTATTTTTATCACAAAATTGTTTTACATTTTCTTGTAATTTCTAGGATTTCTTACAATTGGCAAAATGTTTGTACTATAAATCAATTAATAAGTTGTTTCATGAAAAACTTAATACCAACCCAAATCTGAAGAATATTTATGATAATGTGTATGCTAAATCACTACTAATGTTTTGGCAGCAATACTTGAAATAAAAATTTGTAAAATTTTTATAATGGGAGAGAAACCCTTTATAATATATTCATCCTTGAAGACTTGAATGATATAGCCTACAATTTTAAATTAACTGTTAGTGCAGTAGTTTGGTAGTGGTAGGAGGCCTAATGCTAATGTTAATGCTAATCATGTATCATGCTTAAAGTTCACACTAAGCTTTTCTTTGGTAAATAATTGAATGCCTGGCCACAGTTTATGGCAATGGCTATATAGAAACCGTTAATCTTGGCATTTAGCAGTACACTCTGTAAAATGATTTCCTTTTGAAATTTATGATATTTGAATATGTTCAATTCTTATTTTAGCAGCAATTAAGTAATTTTGAATGTTTTTGGAAGATTTTTATCCTTAAAAATCATCTTCATTCATCTTCTGGTCTGAATTTTATAAACCCTAATGTTAGCTACAAATCTATATTTAGGTTCCATTTCCAATGATTTTAGTTCTTTGATTTGTTATCAATAAAACATTGGACAATTTAACCTTTATTCTAATATATGATCTTAACACTTGCTCCTAACTGTTGTGATAAGTAAAAATTATCATGGCTTTATTTTTGTGTGCAGTGTATCTATGGCTGAGTTTTCACTAGTGTGAAATTGGACAAGTTTCTAACCTAATTCTATAATTTTTCATTTAAATTTTCTTACCAATACGATTATTATTTTTATTCATAGTGCAATTTTTACTTGTAAACATGTAATTTAAGAACAGAAGACTAAAATTGTAATTTAAGGGCTCTAATACTACTATTCAACTTCCCATGTATATATTATTGTGCCTTGAACTTTAATTTTGCTAAATATTAAGTAACTTGCTTATCAGTGTCAAGTTTTAGATCCTGTATATAATTTAAGTTTTCTATAAAAATTTGTGACTCTGTTTGTTATTAATATACCTACATATTATGTGCATACTACGGTATTGTTTGTTATTTACATTAAATATAAGTCTAATTGATCGATACACAAAGGCTTTGAAATTTGAAGTACGTATAGCCTTTGAAGTAATTTCATATTTTGTTGGCAAAAATTTTGTTACCTGTGGCTTTCAGTGAATTTGTATTGTGTATTTTAAAACAGTTTTTAAATGACAAATTTTTCTATTGCTTGAAAACTATGACTTCTATTCTTGCAGCTGGGCAAAGTCTTCTCTGATGATGAGGCTCCCATCAACAAAAAGCTTCCCAGAGAGCTGCTACTGCGGTGAGTTGACTACATATAGCAATCACGCTTTTAACTTCTTGAGCTTTTTGTATTTTCATATTGTGTAAATTTTATTTATTTTTCATTTGGATAACTTTTACAAAAAACCTATCTATTTGAAATTTTCTCCTGCAGAGTATTTTCATTCCTGGATGTTGTGTCTTTGTGCCGCTGTGCACAAGTCAGCCGTGAATGGCACTCATTGGCTCTGGATGGTGCTAACTGGCAGCGCATTGATCTCTTCAATTTCCAAACTGATATTGAAGTAAGTTTATATCCAATCTAATTTTCCCTGAATTGCATTGAGATCTGGTGATGGTTCTAAAAGTTTCACCCAAGTATACTATACTATTCATTTTGCCTCAAATCAGACATTTCCATTTATATGAGAGTAAAATAAGTGTTTTGCCAAATTTTATTGAAAACCATCCTTTAATTTATTTTTCTAAAACACAAAATGAACATGTCCTAATCTGTAAAAGATAATTTTTTTATACTAAAGTACATCAAGGGAGTAAGTTTTAGCTTGTCAATAATTTAGCTTCTGACAGCCTTCTGTGGGTGGACATAGATTTATTCATAAATTTAACATTTAAAGTTAGTGAAAGGGTAGTGAGGCCAATTCTAATCTATATTGGTCTTTTGGCCAATTTAAATTGGACTTTTGGCCAATATAAATTGGCCTTTTGTCCCAAATAAATTGGCCTTTTGGCCAATATAAATTGGCCTTTTGGCCAATATAAATTGGGTACCAATGGCCTCTTCCTTAATGCATTTTCAACAGATAGCTCTTACTCAATCAATGTTTGCAAAATTCTCTTACTCAAGTTTTCTGTTTGCATCTGGTCTCTCATGCCATTCAATGCCCACATAAAATTGAATCTCTTTATAATTTGGCTCTTGGAAGTTCTTAAAAAAGTCTAATCTCATAATTCCCTGTTGATTTCTATGTTAACCATTAAGCAGCCAGCTACCTTGCAAGTGCAAATTACTACATTGCACCCATACCACATTGCTGAAGTTTATCCATTGGAAAAACCTGCTGAAGTTTATCCATTGGAAAAACCTGACAGGTGACAAAAACCTCCAACTGGACATATCACAGTCAGAAATTAAAGCCAAAATATTAGTCTCATTGGATGAATGAGCTTTGAATGTAAACTAATATTACCCTAATAAAAGGTGACAGATATGTACAGGTAGAGGTGGACACTAAAGGGTTAAAGTGCCCTGCTCATTACTGAATCATTCATATTAGCTGAAAACTATTCTAATATTCCAGGGCCTGGTGGTGGAGCAGATTGGACGCCGCTGCGGAGGCTTCCTTAAAGAGCTTTCACTCCGTGGCTGTCAGTCGGTCACAGACGGGCCTCTAACCACCATCACTGCGCTTTGCAATAACATTGAACGACTCAATCTCACCAACTGCAAGAACATCACAGACATGTCAGTCTATTCTTCATCTTAACATCTTACTTGCAATCATGTGTCACTTAAGACTCCCTTGTGATATGAAACTACATTGAAAACCTTGAGTAGTGCAGTTCAGCTACTGATTACTGTAAGAATCACAAAGTTACCTATTTTATTTGTTTAAAAATTATGAGTTTCAACTCATTGTAAAGGGTATTTATATAATTATAAACTGTCACTTTGATGTTAATGCTACGTTTAAAGCATAGCTCAGTGTTGTGTTCTGGTGGGCAGAACATGCGGGGCTTTGTCCCGTCACTGTCCCAGACTGCTTCGTCTGGAGCTTGAGTCGTGTGCCAAAATTACTGATCAGTCCCTACAGCAGCTCGGTCTTGGATGCCCTCACCTCATGTACCTGAACATTGCTTGGTGCTGCGAGATCACCAGCGCAGGTACCTTCGGTGTCTATCATGTTAACACATCTGAGCCTCGGACTGCCTGCATTAGGACGCTCCAGCAAATCATAATGCTGCTTCATGTTTACTGAGAAGAACTAGTTTGAGAAATCATGTTAACGATTCATTGACAGATCAACAATGACCCCATGGTTCATTTTTGATTGGCACATATGCGGCTAACACAGCCTAGCCCGTATTTTTGAACCTCACTGTATATAATTCTACTAATTGTAGATACTTCTACAATCAGTAGATTAAAGAAGAAGATTGTAGATAATTCTAAAAAATTTGATTTTGTTTTTGTATACAATTATTTCCATTTTGATTTTGACACAATTTTCAGTTTGCTTATATGCTACGTAAAATTTGTCTACGATTTCTATAATTATTGTTATTTGCCTCAATATTTCAAATGTTAAGATAATTACTTGGCTTCCATATATGTAAATATATATTCATATATATTTCTATATATATCTATGCTAATCCTAAGATTGCTCTGCAAGATAGATTCCTGATTCTTTAATTAAACAAGCCTTTAGATGTTTACTAAATCCATGTCTGTTGTAGTTCAAAGTTTTGCTAAATAGTTTGGCTATATTTGTGTGTACGGTATTGTGCAGGAGTTGAGACCGTGGCCAAAGGCTGCCCAGAGCTCGAAGTGTTTGTAGCTAAAGGCGTCAAAGAACTTCGTGATCAAGCGTTACTGCAGCTCGCCCACAACTGCCCTAAACTGCGACACATAAACCTACACTCATGCGTGGTCAGTTCCTGAGCTATTTCCAACGTGCTTATTTCCACAGATATCTTATCGTAAATTTCCTGAAATAATCAGTGTTAGGGTTTTTCCATCCATATAGGGCGCTGTCATTTACACGTGTATATAGTGTGTATAAAGACTTGTCATCTCTGTGAGCAGCACATAACAGACGCGAGCGTGACGGTGTTGGCAGAGAAGTGTCCAGGGCTACGGTACTTATGTCTAAGCAATTGTTCGGCCCTCACTGACGCCAGCCTACAGACCCTCGCCCTCTACAACCACAAACTCGAGACGCTCGAGGTCGCCAACTGCGCACAGTTCACCGACAACGGCTTTCAGGCTCTCGCCAGAGTAAATAAAAATAAAATAAAAAATAGTTTTCTTGGTATGATTTATGCGTCTACATCTAATGTTAACATCTTCTTAATCATAAAGTACTTTTTCTACTTCTGAATATTTCAGTTCTGCGTGTCCGTGACAGTAACACGTGTGTTAGTATGTACCTATATCAAGATTGTTACGGTATGTTCTTGTCTTGATGTTCTATTAGCGAATACAACAATAAAATTTGAAGTTTACTGAACGCAAAATCTATGACATCTTGACTTTTGATTCTCAGAAGTTCTAGAATTATTTATCCAACAAGAACTTCATCCATCTCTGTATCATACTTTTTTATCAGAAAACGCATGCGGGTAAATGTTTCTGTTGTGTTCACCGAGAACTCCTGCCCAAGATGAATTGGTCCCTCATTATGATCCAATATTATTGTCACTCTGTATTACGGAACAAATTTGTTTATTTACTCTATTGAAGATTCAAAATGGTCTTATCGACAGATCATCTCATTTTTGTTTGTCAAGACGTTGTTACTAACGTTCATTTGATGTACTCAGTCGTGCCGGATGCTGGAGCGCATTGACCTGGAGGACTGCCTGCTCATTACAGACGCTACGCTCAGCCACCTCGCCATGGGCTGTCCTCGCCTCGAGAAACTGGTCTGTTCTTTACCCTGCATATCGTACAAACTTGAAATATTTACGTCCTGGATACTATTTATACTATTTACAACCCAGAATCATTTGTATGTATCCATGCTATGCAGCGCTGTGTCCTGAATTGTCCCGGTACGGTTTACCCAGAAGCCTTTGTGTGTGCTGTGTTCTGTATTGTCCCAATAAACATCTTTGTGCGCTGTGTGATCTGTTGTCCCAGTAAGCCACTGTGAGCGCTGTATTGCCACAATAAACATCTGTGTCTACTGTGTTGTCCTGTGAACACAGAAGCATCTGTATGTCCTGTGTTGTGGTAAGCATATGTGTGCACCACAGTCGCTGTCGCACTGCGAGCTCATAACGGACGAGGGCATCCGGCACCTCGGGAGCGCGGCGTGCAGCACTGAGCAGCTCTCTGTGCTGGAGCTCGACAACTGCCCCCTCATCACGGACGCTTCCCTCGACCACCTGCTCGCCTGCCACAACCTACACAGAATAGAGCTCTACGACTGCCAGCAGATCACGCGTGCCGGCATACGTAGGCTCAAGGTGTGCACCGCAGCTTTAAAATACGAACAATTAATGTGATAATTCGTAATGGTTTTAGAATAGAGCTCTACGACTGCCAGCAGATCACGCGTGCCGGCATACGTAGGCTCAAGGTGTGCACCGCAGCTTTAAAAATACGAAAAATTAATTTGATGACTCGTAATGGGTTTAAGACACGGCGTAAAATTTATTAAAAACTAGCAGGTTATTATAGATTTAATTTTAATTTGAGAATCCCGCTATTTCGAATGCCGTCGTCACGAATCCAGAAATTATTTTTAAAACTGAACTACGTTTAATTACAGTAAGACCTGACCAAAACAACATATAACACAAAACTCCTGTTTTGAAATTCGGAAAGAACCAGGACTTTATGTTAATAAAATAGACACTTACCAAGTAATAGATCACATTTTTATTTTCAAATACATTTTCACATCCATGTTCACAGACGCACCTGCCGAACATCAAAGTGCAGGCGTACTTCGCTCCCCAGACGCCCCCTGTACCGGAGAACACGCCGCACCGCCTGCACCGCTGCTGCACCATACTATGATCGCGGTACTTGGGAACACCAGACTATGATCGCGGTACTTGGGAGCACCATACTATGATCGCGGTACTTGGGAACACCATACTATGATCGCGGTACTTGGGAACACCATACTATGATCGCGGTACTTGGGAACACCATACTATGATCGCGGTACTTG